CCCAATCGATTTAGTTACAAAATGCGTGTATATTACTTAAATTTAAAAATGAAATTGAATATTCGTATAATAATTATTAAGAATGTTTATGACTCGATTATTCGCATTTCATATGCATTTCACGATTATTTATTCATTAGAAAGATATTGGTATTTCAATGATAAAATATCTATCTCGATAAAAATTTACATTTCATGTGTTAATATAATAATAAAGATAATAAACAATAATAAAATAATATTAATAAAATGTAGGGAGAATATATTAGAGTCTATTATACGTTATCTCATGCTATGGATGAGTTGTATGATCATATATTGACTACAAATATTAACTCACCCACTCAGGCAATTACATTCAATTCGATGTAAAATGCTTCAGCATTGTCAGAAAATTCTTAATGTAATTATTCTCTTTAATTACAGTTAATAAAAAGTTAATGCGCTTAAAATATAACATTATTAGTTTTGAAAATTTACGTGTTAATATTTTTCAATATAGACCTATACTTACACATTACAAAATTGAATAAAGAATAAATGTTATAGATGATAATGTTGAGAATTGCCTTAATATACCACACTATGTATGTACATGGAATCTCATTCTACCATTGAAATATAATACAAGCTGATTGGTGTGAGTTATGTTTTTGTCTAAGAACAAAAAATGCAAGAATGAGTTACAATTTAATTACCAATAAAGTTTATAGAAGGTATATATTGAGGAAAAGGAGATTAGATCCAATTTTACTAAAAACAATCATTTTCAGGTTTGCTAGAGAATAAACCCAATATAAATTTTATAAAACTTCGCGCGTACATGGATCTTGTTTTTACAATGCTGATGCATTTTTTAAATAATTATCTTTTTTTTTGGAAAGGAGAGGTCGCACTGTAATATCTTTTCCTTAATTACATAATAGCAAACTAGAAAAATTATAAGAATCTGTGTAATAATATCGAAAATAGAAAGTACCTTCAGAAATCAAAGATTACATGTATGTAACATTCACACGTGATCTTAAATAATATCAATAACGTATCATTCTACTTGTCGCTATTTTATAAATACACGTATTTTTCTTATAATTAGCCTTGTTTAATCAAATTAACAATAACACAAATAGTTATTGAATTTTTATTTGGCTGTCTTTAAAAGGTATCAATATTTTCATGTTTATAAAACATATCTATGGGAGATTATTTTGTCTCACAAAATTTTTGTTTAGTGATCGGTCTGAAGTATTTTCTACTTTCCTTGGTATTTATAGTATTTATTTTGTAAACACGACTATGCCTATTCTTATTACTCTGTGTACTTTAAAAAAATAATGTCGAAAATAAAAAAAAAGAGTTACGATTTATCTTTAATTAAAGCCAGAAATTGTATTGAAGTATATATAGTTACATTCACTTCGGTGTTTCGTCATGTACAAAAAAAAACAATGTTCCTGTAATTGGCCGATGTATAAAGAAGACATAATTCATACTGGAATCGTAATTATTACAGCAATCTCAAAAATATTGCGTTTCTATCTGATGATAGTGAACTGTATCGTAATACAAATCATCAGCATTACAAAAATCACACCTTAAATGGAAGTAAGTGAAGAACGAGCTCGTCAAATAATCACAAGCATAATTTGATACTATGATATTTGATATGCTATGCCTATGATTAATTGTCTAGCTTACCAGTTATCACATTCCAAAGTTAACTGATAAAGTTAGCCACGCACACGTTTTTTGGAAAATTTTATAAATCTCTCTCTCTCGCGCTCGCTCCCCCCTCCCCCCCTCTCTCCCGTGTACACACGCACATGCACACACACGCACACACGCACGCGCACGCACGCACGCACGCACGCACGCCGCGCGCGCGCGCGCACACACACACACACACACACGCGCGCACACACACACGCGCGCACGCACACACACACACACACACACCTAGGCACACTCTCTCTTTCTCTTTTACACTAAATACTAGATATCATAATCAAAATTTCATATCGCAATTCTATGTAAAGCGAATAAATATTTACAAAAATCTAGCAACATCGACAATTAATTTCCTAAATTGGGTATTCAGCAAGTTATAGTGATTACACAGACTATAGTTGAGAATAATCCTTTTGTTACATACATACAACTTAACTCAGAGACATAACTCGTGCTATAATTAAAAGTGCATATAAAACTTAACAATTTCATTTTATATAGAACCTTCCTCGACAAAGGCCGGTTTGAAATCTAAAACTTTAATAATCGCAATTGTTTAATTAGTTACTTATAATAACAGAAAGACGTATTGTATAACATATTAAATTAGTCTAAACAGTTTTCCTAAACCACACATTTTACGTAATTTAGAATCCGGTTTGTTAGCACGAACAATCTCTGTTAGTCTGTTACGTTTCAAATTGATTATAGTAATTGATTTCGGACATCTCTCCCTAATAAGAACCTAAGGAAGAATTAAAATGTATCTTCATACACACATGGATGTCATCTGTCTTTTCCGTAATGAATTGTTACATTTCGATTACTATATATAATATGCGTATTTACATATCATAATGGGAAATATTTCGGTTGATTGTGACAGTTTTCCGTATTGTACAGTTTGGAACATATAACCATGATAACAATTGTATTGTTTGTTTCACTACAATCACTCATATCACTATAATTGAACACACTTTTAGATATTCGTTCGATGCATGCTAGTCGCGTATAATTTTCGCGTCAAATTTTATTTTCACGAAGATTTTAAAAAATACATAATATATATATTATATATATATATATAATGAAAATTGGAATGTATATACTATGTTGCCATTGATAATGCAAATGACAAAATGTTTATTATGTGAATGTCGTTTAAAGCTTTCAATTTTTGTTTAAATGTATAAGTTATATGGGGGAAGAAAAATTAACGAACAACTTACGAAATAAAATGCAATATTTTTGGTCATGCCCCGCAATGTTTTATAATTACTTATATCTCTTCTAAAACTAAATAAACATTTTTATTTTAATTTACGTGAAAAATCTCAAGTTATAAGCGTAAAATAAAATTATAGAACGTTAGTTCTTTTTTTTAAATATAATATATACGTATTAATATATAATACAAGTATTTGATTGGCTTTCTCAACTATCGTTTACAAGTATTTCATGGTGACATGTTTTACTGCTCTCCATATGTATCTATAAATATATATTAAAAAAAAATTAATTGAATTGTAAAAATTTACATTTTTTATGATAACAATGAAATGCTTTATACAATAAAACTTATTGACATTTCATATTCCAAAAATAAATGGACTGTATGTGTTGCTAAATATTAACTACATAATATAGTAGCACCCCTGCTTAAAAATGTTATGTTAATGGAAATACACTTTCTTAATACGTACTTCTTGAATTTAATACAAAACGAGATATTTGTTTTTCGTTGATTTTCTAGGAAAATTGTTATGTAACAAAACATCGGAAGGAATAACAGTCACAATCATGGATATGGACTTTACATGTATAATGGTTTCGTGACATATAAAATAAAAATATATGAAAAAATAATAAATAAGAAAACAAAACATGTATATTTTGATGTAAAAGTACAACATTGGGATGTGTACTGGATGAAATTTTGAATGCAGTTATAGAGTATATGATACAATATAAATATAATGGAGCGCGATAATCAAAAAGTATACTTTAAACTCTCATAAGCAATTTAGAGGAATAAACGTTTGTTGAACGTTTATTCTTTTAAAACACAAATAATCGGTACAATTGAAATATTATGAAAAGTGAATATTTTGAGGAATTTACATATCAAATTAAGATAAATGTTATAGCTATCAGTATAAACGTGTAGAACATTTAGTTAATGCATCAATAATATCAATTCGTCTTATATTTAAAGTAATTAATATCTGCATGATTTTACTCCTGTTCATTAAATATCGTATTTAACATATAAATACTTTTAACTCCACTGGTTTAATGCTGTATGAATAAAGACATGGAAGTGAAAAGGAAATCATGTGAGACATTAAATAACTAGCTTTATAACTGAAAATAAATTTACTTTATAATAACGTAAAAAATATTTAGATTAATAAAAAAACGTAACATCTTCATTATCAAGAATCTTTCATTATATAAAACGTGAATATTTAAATTTTCTTAAACAAAAAAAAAATGCATATAATAGATACAAATTAATATATCACATAAATAATTTTAATATATTAATTTTATGTAAATTACATATTTAGGAAACATCCAAGATACAACATTAAAGAATCTTACAGAGCTGCGTTTAGAAACTTCACCTGGGTATACCTAGGTATCGTTTTATCTTTGTTCATTATTCAATGAACAACAAAGATAAAATGATAATACCCTGAATTTCCGAACGCAGCAGGAAACTTGAAAGGAATTGAAAAGTGAATACCAATTGCTTCTAATTCTCAACAATAATTTTATTAGTAATTAAATTTGTTATATTGATATAAGATGAAAAGTATAAAGCAATAAATGGATAACTTGTTGTATCCTGAATCTAAACCTCTATTAGAGAAATGCACGTTTGATTGCTGATATTTACACTTATATATATATATATATATCATATATATATATATACAACAAAAAGAGTTTTACTAAATTTATTAGAATATTACTTTACAAATTCTCCACTATTACTCTTTAAATGAATATATATAATTAAAATCTGGAAATACGTAAAAAATATACTAATGCGCGCGATGCTCGATTATCACGAAAAACTTTAAAGTTTTGATCGTGAAAGTAACGTAAAAGTCAGAACACCACACTGAGAAAAATATCTCAGATTTATCTAAGGGAAAAAGAATAAAATATATATTATTTTCGAGCATTATAACTATTGTACTGTTATTTTTATTATATTTGTAGCATATTAATAAATAAATGTCTCTAAATTTTTTTCTGTGGTATAGGTGTGTATAAAATTTTTTATTCCCTATGCTGACATCGTCTGGCCTATAAATTTGAAGATTCTCTAATGGATATTAGAAACGAGATTAATGTTTGAAAGATTTTCCTTTATCTCTATATGCATCAGAATATTTGGTTACGATTAATAAATATTACAATGTTGCAAAAAGCATCTAAATTCTTCTTCAATATGAAGCTTTCTCTTTCTTTTCTAGCAAAGTATGTTGATACATCTGGACGATTAAAAATTACGCGCCTATGACAATTTCAGTCCAATACACATTCCCAACCTTAACAAATCTTTCAGATTCGGTTCAATGCACGCAATGAGCCAACCCTTGTTATATTTGTAAGTCATTGAATTATTATTATACGTCGGCAGACTCGTCATGTACTTACTACAGGCAGACATATATACATATACATACATAGATACGTACATATATATGTATATGTATACTAATATGATTAAAATTAAAGACTATTAGGGGGGAAGGACGTGGAGCTATTACTGTGAGCCAGACTTAACATGGAGCCACTAAGGCTTTCATCGTCTGGATAAGATTCTTTCGATGCTTCAGCTATCGCCAGAGCACTGCAATAATTTGAAAAATGCTATAAAAATAATGCAACGTTGCGTTTGATAAATTTAGCATATTTCTTGCAAAAAACTTAATTTAACTTAATACTATATATTTTATTTTCTATTAACGTACCTGAATCCTATTCTTGCACTTTCCTCATCAAATTGCTGTAGTTCCCGTTCTTGCCTTTCATGTAACAGGCGTATACGTTCACTACGTTCGCGAAGGAATTCCTGAGTTTCTAATTCCATTTTTTGTTCAAGTAAAGCTCGTCTGACGGATACACGGTCTTCCAATTCACGACGTTCTCTGTTCCTCTGCGCCTCGGCTTGCATCTTATTTTTTGATTGGTATGCCATTAGAATTTCTAATTCATAATTTAACCTTTCCTGTAAGATTAATATTAATTTATCATTAATATCGTATAATTATGAAGTTGTATAGTACAATATGCAATAATATATGATAATGTCAATTGTCGAACCTTAAGATTATGGCATTCTACTTCTTGTGACTCGTCTAACCGTATACTTTGCTTTTGAAGCATTTCAGCAATACTTTGCTCATATTGATCACCTAAAAGTGCTAATTTGCGTCTTTGTTCTTCCTTTAATTTTTTAATAACTGCTTTTTGCTCATCCTTAGCAGTCGTTTGCAGGATTTGAGCTTTCAACGCTTTATATTGTCGTGTTTGTATTTTACAAGTTTCTCTAAACTGTTTACGAATTTGCATTTCCTTTTGCTAAAATTATAAATTCCATTTGTGAATACAATATAAAATGTACAAAGAAAAACATTGGAAATAATATATATGTCAATAGAATTTTTTTCACACAAATTAATTCTATATAAATAAAATAAAATTGAGTGAATATTAAAGTATCTATTTTAATGTTTTACTTGAAAACATTCATTTTAAGAACAAATATCAATATCTACGTTCATATTATTAGATATTGTTATTTACCTTGAGACTCTTCGGTTGTTGTTTAAGTTCTAACGCATGCTTTTTACGTAGATCACGTTCGGCCCGTTGCATATAATCCTGCTGATTACAAAGTTCTGTTGAATGCTGTCGATGTACTTGATCCTCACGAAGTGCGTGTACTGCTCTTTGTTGTCTATATTCTAATTCTTGCGTTTTTTCATGATGTCGCAGAAGCATAGCATGTGCTTGCTCCAGTTGCTGTTGCCGTTTATTCAATTCCTGTTTAATAAATGTATTTAATGTAATAAAATTCACATTCTTAAAATATCCTATATAAGACAAAAATATCAATAAGAATCACTAAGCTTGATCTCGGAATTAACACTATGGGAAAAGAGTTGTTAATTCGAAATATTTAAAATTAAAAAATGCGATATAGAAAAGATTTTAAAGAAAAAAAATATATGAGTTCAATAATAAAAAAATCTTTAAATATCAATAGTAATACGAACTTCACGAAGAAGCTCCTGCTCCAAACTATGGAAGATGAGTAACTTTTTTCTACGGAATTTTCGAATTTCAAGATCCAAATATTCTCGTTGTCCCCTCGCAAGCCGTTGTTCCTCTTGCGCTTCCATCTGTCTCAAATTATCTTTCTGACTTTGAAGTGTAGCATCTCGTTGCCTCTTTGGAGTTACTTCATCCTGAGAAAGTTCTTTTTTCCATCTTTCTTTATAGGCCTATATAAATAAAATTATATGTTTAAAGATATAAATTAAATGTGTAAGATATGAATTAAAATTTTACATATCACAATAAATTTCTTATGCCGATATCTTACTTTGTACTCTCTCTTCTGTTGAGCTTCCAGAGCTTTACGGTCAGCTTCATGTCTACTTGTTATCTCTTTATTAAGTTTCTTCTCAGCATTTTGATTTTGTTTTAACTTGCGTTCTAACTCTTGTAGATGTCTGAGTTGCAATTTCTCGAGATCCTTACTAAACTGTTGTAACAAAGTTTCATACTCTTTATCCAACAGCTGTTTATGTGACTCCATTTCCATTTTACAACGTTCCTCTAATTTCACCTATAAATAAAAGAAATATTACATTATAAACATAAAAATTTTTTTAATTTTTTCATAATTATTAATAATTATTGTTTAGAGATTTAAAATCCGTTTATTTAAATACAATTTTTTTTAAACGTCAATTGAATTATTTATCAAAATTTTAATTCTTTCAAACATACAAATTTAGAAATTTATCAATCGTAATCATTATAAGATTATTTGTAAAGATTGTATAGATTCGTGATACTACTAATTAGAATGTTTGAATTCTTACCAAAGCACCTTGGTGCTCTCTCCTCATTCGTTTATATCCACTCATTTGTTCATGCATTTCTTCTTGCATATGTTCTTTTTGTTGTTTCGTAACAATTGAAGTTGTCCTAATTGTTGCAAAATTATTGGCACCGTGTTCAAGAAGATTGGCAGTGACACCACCTGCTGAGACCTTATGCCGATTTCTGACAGATCCCGAAGAATAATCATTACCATCAGCATTCGGCAGCGGCAGGCTATTGGTGGAGGAACTTTGAGAGCTTGCTGAGACGCCCATCGAGTGAATCGAGTGTTCTGAGGTAATTGAATTGCTTTTGCTACTATCGCCACCTGTTTGTTCATCAGGAGTATCTGTAAGTGATTGTAGTTTTAAAGATTCAAAAGTATGTACAGCACTTTTTAATTAGCATATTCAGAAAAAGTGTAAGCATAAAAAATATACGTATAGCTTAATAAGAATTTCATTTGATAAATAATAATCATACCGTCAGCGTCACCAACTGTGCTCTCTGTTTCGCATGCATCGATCATCAAGATCTTCTTCATTTTACGATAATTCAAATTATCTAATTCCCGAACAGCGGCTTTTGTTCTCTGTATCAAATCTATCAAAACTTGAGGAGAACGTGGTCTGGTGACAAATTGATGCTGTAAAATTGAAAGCCTATAAGAGAACAACTAGACTACTACTAACATACTACATATAATGAAACAAAAAAAAAGAAAAAATATATACGGATGTAAAGTATCGCTACAGATATACATAAGGACAACTCACTGATAACAGTTTCCCGGATGTTGGTCTTTCAATTGGACTTTTTGTGAGACACACCTCAACAAAATGTCGAAAAACATCAGTCCAATCTGGCGAATTTAACGTTGGAGTGTCATTCTGTGCAATATGATACAAGGCGCTCATTGCGTTCATATTAAAATAAGGTGGCTTTCTTTCCGCTATAATCAATAATATAAATAACGAAGTTTTGTGTTTAAATTAGAATAAATAATAAGAATATAGATAAAATTATTTTTCTTTGATGAAACAGAAAAATTGAGATGTTAATTAAATTAAAGAACTTTACTTTGAAAAATTATATTAATGTCTTTCGAATTGGAATAATCATTGCTACTTTGTTAGTCATAAAAGAATTATCATAAATGCAGATATTGAATAATTGTGCAAATTGATTTAAATTATATGGTAATAATTACTTTAAATCGTTGTACCAACATACTCTGATGCTGTGATAAGTTTTTATACATAATTATAATTAATACGTTAACTACACATACCTAATTCGATGCATGTTATTCCTAATGACCATACGTCAACCTTGCCATCATATTGCCCCTCGTCCATAGCCAATATAACTTCTGGCGCCATCCAGTACGGAGTCCCTACAAAGCTATTGGCTGGACATTTTATACTCGCAGATCCAAAATCAGCTAATTTCACTGTACCGTTCTCAGTAAGTAAAATATTTCCAGCTTTCACATCACGATGGATTCTCCCAAGGGAGTGAAGATAATGCAAGCCGCGTAATACACCTTCGCATATTGCAGCTATTTCTTCTTCCTTCAGTGGTCTTTTATGTACCTCAATAATATCTGATGCAGAGCCAAGACAATATTCCATCACCAACTGCAAAACAGCACACAACGATCCAGCTTTAATATTGTTTAGAAAATACTAGTTTGAAGGATTTAAAACATGATCGAATTGATCGAATAAAGACACAAAATATCGTACATACCCAGGCAGTGTGGTCCCTGAGATAGCAACCCTTATACTCTATAGTGTTAGGATGATTAAGTTGCCTAAGAAATCGAATTTCCTTTAAAATGTCCTGCCACTTTTCTACCGTTTGCTTCCCCAGGTAAGACATTTTCTTGATGGCAACAATTTCTTTGGTAACCAGGCATCGTGCATAGTAAACAGCCCCGAAACTACCATGCCCGATCTCGCGTAAATCCTCAAATATTTTCTCCGGATCATTTTTCTCAAATAATTCGGCAATCTCTGGGTCCTTTAAACTACCAGGCCTTGCAACAGCTGGCATAGTCGAGTTGTTGATAATTAGATGCCCGAGGCCTAGTCCAGACACCTTGCCCTGTTATCTTTAGATTCCTTGCCTGAACCGTCTGTTTTTATTGAATCCTCTGTCAGTCCATTCCCAAATTTAACATTCTATAAAAAAAATGTTTTTAAGTCTAGACACATTAAGCTCATAAAATTTGAAGTTACAAATTAATGTATATCGCGTTACTATATATAATATATTATTTCATAATCTAATCGATTATATAGAAAATATAAAATTATTAGAAAAAATATTTAAAAATTCATAAACTGTCATGTAAGATATTAAGAGCTATAAAAATATTTCTTATTTCATTCAGAGATAAAAGTCTTTACAAAATTATGCTAAAGAAGATCAGTATTTATTAACTTTTACTTTTTAACACTAATTATTTTGATAAATACAGATTTAAAATGTAACAAAGATCACTATCAATCAAATGAAGGATAAAATTTTTTTATTTCTTTGTATTTTCAAAACATTAACGCAGCTAATAATATCTCAATATGTCAATATCTCAATATGTCAATATTTTTTTATTTCTTATTTCAAATTTCAATAAGGAATTTACACATTCCAGTATTTGCAAATCATTAATTTTATCACACACACTAATTAAGAACGATAACTTTACTGTAAAAATAAGAACACTCTCAAATTAACAATTTAAAATCTTAATAATTTATCGTTCTTGCATAATTATACAGATAAAGTATATCTGTGTACTTTACATTAATCAGATTATCATTCAATTACAAAACATTTTAATTGTGTCTTCTTACAGATTTCATATGTCTGCATTTCCACAAATTCTTATTTCTTAATGTCAAGGATTAAGCCTTGCAGTTTTACACTATAACCGATTTGCACCCGAAGATTATCTTGAAACACTACTTTCCTACTTCTCTAATTTCACTGTACGAAAGTAATTGCAAGCATTTTAATTGCAAGCAATTAAATTCTTTATGAAATTTTCAACTCCGAGTTCATCACGGGTCCGAGAACTTTCTCGGAAGAAACTGTTCGTTTCTCAGAAAAGCATCCGCTAATTTTCCGCTCGTGTATCAAGAGTCGAGGCACCTTCCTCCGAGCCGGATGTACCTTACGCGTGATTTACGAGCGTAAGGACCGAGTATACACTGAATGGCAGCGCGGCGCATTGAAAACGCAGAGGCACAACAACAAACATTAATGCTCGGCCCATTGTCCGAATCTTGTCATCGGTCGTTGTCGTGTCGTTTCCGTTTTTTATCTCGTTCGCGGGAGTGAGGATCTAAATGCGATTTCCCTCGCGATCGCGACGGTGGGGAGGACGAAGAGGAAACATGTAACGGCTCAAACGACACAGAAATAGGCACGTTCTTCCCGTAGGAGCGACGAGAACCGCCGCACTCTCGTCATTGTTGTCGCGTTAGTCACGTTACTCGTGATCTCGAGCAGTATCGAGCGGCTGACACTTAGTGTCTATCATCGAGGAGAGATACTCGATTCTCGATGGAGAGAAGGAGACTATCAGAGATCGTCGTTTCTATGACAATTCTGTCGCGTGGACAGGATCGGATCAGGAACGAGAGAAAAAGAGGGCGGAAGGGGAAGAGGGGCAGGAGGCAAAATTCGGCAGGTCGCGCACGAGAGAGAGAGAGAGAGAGAGAGAGAGAATTATCGACGCGCGGCGCCGAGAGGGAATATCCTTAAACGCGAGCGAGCCACCTCCGGGTTCGCGATCCTTTTCGCGAGAAATCGGTGGCGATGCGACGACGTCGGGAAATTCGTTCGCGGAGGAAAAGAAAAGTCCGCGGACAGATCGGACGACGGCGATGACAAAGACGACGACGTCGATTATAACGATGACGACGGTAACGGCGACGACGAGAGAATTCGCAGGAGGTGGAGAAATGCGGGCGTAAGGAGGGTTGGGTCCTCGGCGCTCGTCGGCCCGATCGGACCCCTGCCCCACCTCTTCCCGTCGCCGTCCACGTCCTCCTCGCGCTCCGCCGCACCCCCTACCGCGTCGCGGACGTCGCGGTGCAGCGCTGCAACGCGCTGCGCCGTCGACGACGAGACGAAAACATGCACCTCACGCGTTATAGCGCGCGCATCACGACGGCCGGTCCCGTCACGTCCCCGTCTATCCATCCATCCGTCTGGGTGGCGTGACATCGCGCGGTTTCACGCGCCGCGACCCGCGGCGGATGGGAATTCCGTTGGGGCGCCAGGGCAGGGCTCGGTCGGGCTAAAAAAGGGTCGAGAAAATTGTATTCACCTCCAAAATGGCGAGGGAGCGGGCGGGGAAGCATGCGCCTCGTAGGCTCCGTGCGCACTCTCTTCAGGCGGAGCAGTCCTTTTTCCTGAACCTGGCCGACGATCCCGCGGGCATAATTAAACGCCTGCGATCCTCGGGCGAGCCCGCCGTTGATTCGCGAGAGTTGCGCACCGCGCCCCGGAACAATACACGCTTCGTCGTCGTCGTGCCGTCGTCGTCGTCGTCGTCGCTCGTCGCCGATACGCACGTCACGCACGCACCTACACACACATATACATATACATATACTCTCTCTCTTTCTCTCTCTCTCGCTCTCTTTCGTTTTTCGCGTACGCGCGCGCGAGCACTCTCGCGAGAGTGAACGAGCCGCGAGACAGCGAACAACGACGAGGCCACCGTACCTCGAATCCACAGACGATCGCAAGGACCGTGCGCGAGGATTCCTCCACCTGCGTCTCACGTCCGATTTCGCTCGTCCCGCTTCGTACCGTACTTGCACCGTATACACCGTACACACTACACGGCACACCAGGCGAGAGAGCCGTCCATTCGCGATGGCGGTGGCGCTCTACGACGGTCACGTTGCGAACTAACTCGCCTCGTGCCGTCTCTCTTTCGTTGTGCTGTTTTATCACGATACGATTCAACGAAAAGTGGAAGTTTCCTATTTACCGACTGACGAATAATTTGGAGATCTTTGGTAATTTCACCGGTCTAAAAATTTCTGTATTGTTGACGAGATCGTCCAAGAAAAATTTTTTTTTTCACTATGCATGCTTCAAAGATTTAAGCGACGATTCTCCCGTTTGGAATACATTCTATGTATGAAAATACAAATTTATAAAATTACAGAAAAATGACAAGAGAACATTTAATTATAAAATTATAAGCAATTTAGAAAATCCTGTTCACTAAAGATATTCGTAATTTCATTAATATCTGGAAAAACCTTAAACACTTTTGGATTATACATATATTGTATCATGATTTTATAAAAAGAAGAGTATTTATTATACGTTCTCATGTATTACAGCAGTTTATTTTCGTGTTCATATATATATATGTACAAAATACAATTAGCGTCTATATAAGTATAAGATTTTTAAAAAAGATCTTATTTTTACAAATTATATGTATAAAATTTATGAATACAAAATAAGAAAAAATTATAATATTTACAGTTTACTTTATCACATAAAAAATATTAACTGTCCTATTTCGATACTTTTTAGTTTAAACAGTTCTCTTCTCATACCCGCTCTAAATCTTCCATCAAAGACGTAAGAAACGTGTTGCCATTGATTAATCTCGTAGTTGCCACGACAAACTCGACATTTACTAAAAAAAAAATGTATTATGTTTATTATGTAAGTTATACAGGGTGTTTCCAAATTAAATGGCAAAACTTCGGGAGCGTGTAGAGGAGTAAAAAACTAAGAAAAAAAGTCCTATAGACATATGCTCCTTTTTGCTTTGTTTCGCAGGAAATCACGAAAAAAGAAAAAAATATATTTAATTTATTATTTTAATTATTTTATTTATAAACTTTTTAATGAAGATTTTGTTCGAAATGTGCACCTCTTGCAGCAATACAAGCATTGCATCTGTCAAACACGGCTCTTGTAGCAGCCAGGCACTGTTCTTGCGATATTCTGTTCGCTGCAGCTACGATACGATTTCTCAAATGTTGCTCTGATTGAATAGGCGAAGAATAAACTTCTT